CTCCGTCCCAACCTCGCTGTTCTGCGCTTTTAGTTCATTTCACAGGTAATCTAAGTCTAAGGTTCTACATCAGTTTAGATTCAGTTCGCATCAAAAGATGAAGGTTTTAGCCAAGTGTTGGTGGTTTCCTTCGTATACAGGAACTCTGAGGCTTTTTTAAAAAAAAGAGACAGTTCGGAAGTTCTTGTAGTACTTAAATTAAAAGATATTCAGACAAGGAGTTTTAACTGTATCTCAAAACATCAGGAAGGCACTGGTCCCAGACAAAAAACCCGAAACATTGTCTAGTAAGTCGACTGCTTTTATCGAAAAGAAAATCTGTGACTAGTCTGATATAATTTCAAGGGCAAAAACATTGCAGGCACAGTCTGAATTCATGAGTAGTTTTTCTGGGCAGGATAATTCAGAGAAGAAGGGAGATTATTCTTCTACTGGTTTTAAAAGTCACCTTGTGTCTCCTTACCATCTTGAGTTTTAGACATAATGCTCTGCCTTTTGTCGATTTTTCCTTTTTTCCCCCCAGTCGAGTCTACGTTTTATCACTTACGTTTTCATTTTTCTGCCTAGTTAAAGAGGGCAGCTCCGACTGGTACGCAGCCTGGTGGAAGCTTTTTAAGCCAGAAAATATTATTTGCGCTTCCAGCGTTATGTCGTTGGGGTGTTAAGTCTGAGCCCAATTTCTTTTGCTCCCAGGATGCTTTGGCTGGGGCGGGACCAGCGCCCTTTAGCGGTGTCCAGGAGCCACCTCTTCCCGAGCTTTAGAAGTGGCTGAATGACCTTGGAAGGTGTTCTCACCAAAGGCTTTTTTTTGTTTATTTCCTTTTTTTCCTATGGGTGCCTTCGCTTTTCAGCCTTCTGCTTTCCTTCCTCTGTCACTAACACGGGCTAATCCTGCTCTAACCGCTTCGGCCGGGGCGCGGGGCCGGGAAGGGACCCTGTGCCGGCGGGGCGAGAGCTCCGGCGTCCGCTCTGCCGCGGGGAAGGATGGAGAAGGATGCTGCGAGCGACGCGAGACACGCGGCGCGTCTGCGAGGGGCCCTTTGGAGGTTGCTGTGCCACACCGGGGTACGAATCCTCAACAGGAGGAATGAACGCAGTTGGCTTAAAGTAGCTTCTCAGTCGAGGCCTTGGCAGGCGTTAACTTCCGACGTTAATAGGCTGATGTGTTTGCGCTTTTCATTTTGATTTGTCCCAGCATTTTCCTTTATGGTCCGTCATTAGATATTGATCAGTTGAAGCTCATTTTGAGACTCGTTGGAACCCCAGGGCCTGAGCTTTTGAAGAAAATCTCCTCAGAGTCTGTGAGTTTACACTTTGATTGTAATATCTGCCCTTTTGGAAGTCCCAAGTCTGTGTGTTGCCCTCCTGTAGTCTATCTGTAGTATGTGTTGGGATTTATTTTCTGTTATTTTCCTTTTTTTGTCATTCTTTGCTCTTAGATGGCTTTGAGTTCTTACGCTCTGTGTATCTGATCTTTTGTTTCTCTGCCTGTGGTTTGATTTCTTCCTTCCATGTTCTCATTTTTCTGCTTTGACTTTCCGTTCAGTTTGTGGTGTAGCGTGTGATCAGGTGCTGCTGGGGAAGCATTTTTCACAGCGAAGACTTTGAAGCTCGTCTCGTGTCTCCCGATTGCCTTCCCAGGGATCTTTCTTAGCAGGAGCCAAGCGTCTTGTCCTTTAAACACGCACGGTCCCTTCTGTAGCACGATTAATTTCCGAAATGCTACTGCCTCCATCTTTTTGGATTTTACGTAAAAAATAAAACAGTGCCTTTTGGTTGCCTTTATGTGGCAGCTTTTTCCAGGACACGCTATGTGGAGTCTGCTGAGAACGTAACTAATTGTGTCCCGTTTTTTTGTACGGGGCCCTTTTACCCCAAGGTAACAGCCAAAAGCTTTTTGACGGTCCCCTTTCTCAAGGGTGACCTCTCCCTTCAGCCGTACTGCCATTTCTGGGTTGTTCCCGCCTTGGATTGTCAACTTGTGCAAAGACAGGACGAAATGGCATTAAATTGGCGCCTCGAAGGTAGAGCCAGCGGTGCCGTAACAGATGAGCAGGTTAACGCCCGGCGAGCTTGCGTAGAGGTGACGAGCAGCGAGTCTGCGGTGCAGAGCAGGGGATCAGGGCGGTGAGAAGATTATTCGGTAGCGCAGCTTACGCTCGTTTTCGGGTAACGGCGGAACGCGAGGTTCAGCCTTGAGTTCCTTCCGCTGGCCGAAGGTGGACGGGCGGCGCAAGTTGGAATCGGTCGGTCAGCTTGCCCGATATCGTTGAAAAAAGCCCTGGGACCTTCTGCCCTTGGCGAGGTTAGAGCCAAGTCCAGGGGTGGCTTTGGGTGCCCCGGGAGCTGACCTCAAGGCTAGTCTGGGCTTTGAAGTCGCAGGGGATTAGCGAGAGGGATAAGCTTAAAGGTTGGCAAAAGATCAGTTTGAATACGTAAGAGTGAAGTGGCTCTTGGTTTGTTTGGGTTTTTTTTCACCTTGCACGATAAATTGTTGCTTTTAGCCAGATCCTCATTCAGAGTCCGTTTAAAAAGAAATAAACTGCAGCAAAGTGCAATTCCATTGCGTGGAGAGAGCAAAACAATGAAGTGTTTGAGGCCTTTAGTGTGTCACTGTAACGAATTCTGCTGCATTCCTTGACTTGCTCTTCCCTTCTGTCTGTTCACTGACATCAGCTAACTCTGTCTTATGCAACGCTAACGTTTTGCTAATTTTGCATTTACTGCCTTGTGTCACCTCGCCCACATATCCAAGTGCATTCAAAGCTGTTCAGAAGGAGGTGTCAGCTGTGAGCCGATTTCACTTTGCACCACAACGAACTCGTACTTTCTGTGCAGCAAGAAGGAAAAAAAAAACAACCAAAAAAAGCTGGTAACTAGTGCAGAGGAAATAATTTTTCTTTCTGTTTTAATTTTTGTTCGTTTTCCTGAGGCTGTCTGTAGCTGCAGCAGCCTAGGAAAATTTTTGAGGAGTAGCTTCTGCCAAAGGAAATATCTGCTCTGGTGCCTTAGAACTGTTGGGAAATGTGGACGCAGCCGTGTCGTAGTGTGACGCTACCGATGGCAGACAGAAACACCTTCGCTGTTACCAGCCCATCAATAATCCTCCTGCGCTTTAGGTGTTCACTAGTGCCATTGCTAAACTTCTCACGAGTATTTGAGAGGAGAAAAAATAAAATAAAAAAATCAGTGGGCCCTGCCTGTACGGCTTTTTGCCTTGTGGTTTGCAGCAGAGGTGCTTCGTTCGCAGCTGTTTTTCTGTTTGAAATGGTTTTTTGCACTGTTTTTAACAAAGCCCTTGACTAGGCACTTAAGATATTAACCAGCTTCAGCAGATCATGCGTCTGACGGGAACACCCCCTGCCTATCTCATTAACAGGATGCCCAGCCACGAGGTGAGCCCTGAGCAGACGGGGACGGGGGGCTCGCAGGGCAGGGCTTCGCTCGCGCCGGAGCTGGCGTTCGCGGGCAGCGCCGGGTGGGCAGTTAACTTCCCTGCTCTCCCGCGGGGTGGTTGTACTAAACAAACACTTGAGATGCGGGCGCCGCGCCCTCGGGAGCTGGTTTTTGCGTTGTGCGCCCTCGGCTCTTGCAGCATCTCTTTGCTTTCCCAGTCTTGCATGAACCCCCCAAGTAACCCCAGCTCTTCCTCTGCTGTCCTGAGTGGCCTTTGGTTGGGAAGGGGTAATAAGGATCAGAATAAGAGAAGGATAAATGAGGAGACACCGTAATAACCGGTGCGGCAGGATGATCGAGATGTGCTTTGTCTTGGTGGCTGGGTTGTGTTCTACTTCAACGGAGCGTTTATTTCCACAGGCAAGAAACTACATTCAGTCTCTGTCTTACATGCCGAAAATGAACTTTGAAAATGTGTTTATCGGTGCCAATCCGCTGGGTAAGGCCTGCTTTTAAACCCTTGTGCTCTTCCTGACGCTGAAGTTAGCCCGTCCTGGGACACCAGGACTTGCCCAAAGTTTCGTTTGGACGGCAGGAGTAGCTCGGTGGCAAAGTTTACAAAGTCTGTGTGGGCTGAGGGTATGAGAGGAAGAAATAGATGATGGGCGCGTCCTGAGAAACTCCAGACTGAGCAACACACTGGGCGGTTTTGCAAGCTTAACGCTTCAGAGCGAAGCCTCGCACAGCTCACAGGTTAAACCCTTTCTCTTCTGTTCCGGTGCTTTTGCAGCTGTGGACTTGCTGGAGAAGATGCTGGTGCTGGATACAGACAAACGGATCACCGCGGCGGAAGCGCTGGCCCACGCCTACTTCGCTCAGTATCACGACCCGGACGACGAACCCGTGGCAGACCCCTACGACCAGTCTTTTGAAAGCAGAGAGCTCGAGATCGAAGAATGGAAAAGTGAGTTTGGGGCTGGTGGGGAGCGGGAGTGAGCAAATCCGCTTCCCTCGG